GCCGGGTGCGCTGGCCCCCGGCCCGGGCCGTCCGGTCGCTCCGCCCTGAAGTCCTGGCCGCCGCCGCCCCATAGGCCTCTGGCCCCGAGCGGGCGTGGGACGCGAGGTGGGCGCGGAGCAGACAGCGCCCTCCGACCCCGCGCAGGGGTCGAGGTCACCCTGCGAGCGCAGATCTGGGGGAGCCCACGCTTGCTGGGAATGGAGGGGTGAGTGCCCGGTGCGCGGAGGCCGGCGGCTCCGGGGTAAGGCGGCGCCCTTCTCCCCCGGGCGCCCGGGCCCCAGCCACCTCTCCTCGCCGGCAGACCACCTTTCCTTCCTGGTCAAGGCGACGCCATCGCGCGGGGATTTGGGGGGCGCTCGCGCCCTCTTGCGTCCTCAGTGCTCCTTACACGCCTTGTCGGCCCCGGGCAGGGCCACCTTTACAGTTGGAGGACTCCTTGAATCCGTGAGGCGCCACCAACCCCCAATTCGCTGGCCCTATGCTTCTCATGAGACCGACAGACCCATCCTGGGAGAAGCAAGGGGTCTTTCTCAGTCTCTCTCTTTTGCAGGAGAGGGACACAGTGAGTGAGAGGACAAATTCCTATCACCCCTAAGCTCCAAACTCTGCTAAACAAACACATAAACTGGTTGGCTTCTGGGTTGTCAGGCGATGGTGGGATCAAGGACCAGGGACTTTGAGATGCACACCCGGTAACACAGAGAGATAACACCCATGACAAAATGCCAGGGGGGATAAGAACCTCATTGCTTGTGGAAAGAAGGTGCCTTCAGCTCACCTGTTTTATTTCTCCTGCCCAGTGAATCGCTGTTAAGGGAGCTGACGGAAGCAAGTGGAAGAAGAGAGTTTTCTCCAGTGGCGGCATAGTAAGGGATTCGTGTGTATTTCAGTTGGACCCATTTGCCATACGTCCGAGTGTCCAGCTCCACTGCCTTCCGCTTTAAATCAAGCTCAAAATTAATCTGCTCTGGGAAATTGAGCCTAGGCGGAGAGGAGTGGGGAGCCACCCTGTACTGGGGAGACCCGAGCAGTAGCGGGCTATTTTTATATATATCATGGGAGTCCCAACACCGAAATCTATACATAATCCCCAAACTTTTTAAAAAATGGAATTAATTTCACCTGGCGACATTCTCACCAGAACGGAGAAAGTGTTACCCGACAAAGAGGTGTTCACCGCCTGTGCTCTTGTTAAGCATAACTAGGAGTCCTATAGATTTGGGGCAAGGCGTGGTTTATTACTTGCGGCAAGTTAGGAGACGGGGCGATAGCTCTCAAAGCACCGTCATCCCGAACAAACGGCTGGAGGAAGTTTTATGCTACTCTGGAAACCAGAAGTCATGCATATTCATTAAACTTCTGGGAAATAGCATGCCTATCCAAAAAGGGGTATAGGGTGGGCGCGTAGGTTGCACGTGGAACTGGTAGCTCAAGATGGCGGCCAACGTTCCTTCAAGATGGCTCCTGGTGTACTTTTGACATCTGTGTGTTCCCAAGAAAATGGCGTATACTAAACATGGCGACTGAGTTCATCTTCAAGTCACCTACTGTCTCATGGTACATGCCTGAAGGTTGGTTTTAGTCGGATTGCCTGAAAGACAGCTGTAAGCAGGAAGATTAGGAGGAAACCGGGTGGGGTGACTCATTATCTTGGTGGCAAGATGCTGTTTGTATTCGCTCACAAGTTTTCTGTTGACACAGCTTGTCGCCTGAGGCCTATGTGGTTCCTAGCTGGTTTCAAAAGTACAATTTAATTCCTTAATGTAATCTGATTTTCCTTCCCTTTGGGCATAAGGAATTTTATGGAACAAGATAATGTCCACAGGGGCAGGAGACAGGGAAAGAGGAGAGCATTCAATAAACACCGTAAAATACCAACTCTGAGGCCAGAGTCTTGATAATCCTGAATTTGCTAGTGTTGGTCACTCAGCGTGAATTGGAAAATCCATTTCTATCAAAAAGTCATGGAAATGGCCATGTTTTTCTTTGTCTCTACCCCCTCCTCAAAGTATCATGGTGGTCTTTCTACAGAAAATCTGAGAAGAGACAAGTCCAGTAAAGAATATCCTTCAGGATCTTAAAAGCCCGTGAGCAGCCATCTAAGATATGCCACTGGTCTCATCCCTTTGGGAGCAAGGGAAAGTGAAGAGAACAGGATACAAGGAAAAGATTAGTCCAAAGGACTAATGGACCACAGCTACCAAGGCCTCCACCATACTGAGTACAGTACAGCTAGAGGGTGCCTGGCTACCACCACTGACTGCTCTGACCAGCATCACAACAGAGGGTTCTGGACAGAGCTGGAGAAGGATGTAGAACAAAATTCTAACACACACAAAAAAGACCAGATTTACTGGCCTAA